ATATATATATATATATATATATATATATATATATATATAAACAAGACTGTGTCTAAATAACCAAGAACTAAATGAACAAAACAGAAACAGCTGAGCAGAATACAAAAAGAGGAACATGACAGACCATACATCCATCCATACATCCATCCATACATACATCCATACATACATCCATCATCTTCTGCTTGTTCTGGAGTTGAGTTGAGGGGGCAGCAGCTTCATAAAAGTAGATAAAGAGAACCCAGTTAAAGAAATGAGACTAAAATCATCATGTTTGTGGAAGTGGATCATGGAGGAACAAAGGAGATTTCTGAGGAGCTCAGAAAAAGAGTTGTTGATGCTCATCAGGCTGGAAGATGTTACAAAACATCTGTAAAGAGTTTGGACTCCATCAATCCACAGTCAGACAGATTGTGAACAAATGGAAGAAGTTCAGGACCATTGTTCTCCTCCCCAGGAGTGGAGGACCAACAAAGATCACTCCAAGAACAAGGTGTGTAATAGTCAGCGAGGTCACAAAGGAGCCCAGGGTAACTTCTAACACCTGAAGGTCTCTCACACATTGATTGATGTTGATGTTCATGAGTCCACCATCAGGAGAACTGAACAACAATGGTTCATGGCAGGCTGAAGGAGGAAGACACTGCTCTCCAACAAGAACATGGCTGCTCGTCTGCAGTTTGATAAAGATCACGTGGACAAACCAGAAGACTGTTGGAAGAATGTTTTGTGGACGGATGTGACACAAAACCAGGCTTTTGGATTCAGAATGACAAGACACAAGAGTAAAAAAATGAAAACAGTTTTATTTATGATTGCAGCTGCAGTCAGGGAGAGGATCCAGAAGAGGTAGGGTCATGATCCAAAAGGCAAGGTAGGGGTCAAGCATGGAGAGTCAGAGATCTTTAAACAGATGCAAGGGCTAATCCAAAATCCAGAGTCAAAGGGCCAGAAAAAGTTGTCGTACCAGGGTCAGAAGGGCAGAGCAAAACCAGACGAGCGGCAGGCAGAGAGATGAATCCAAGAGGCAGGCGTGAGGTCAATAATCCAGAGAGCAAGGCTGGAGGTCTAGGCATGAAACTGTGAAGGCTTGAAAATTAGGGACCAAGGAAGGTGTAATAATCTCGCACTGGTGGAGAGGGAGAATGGATCTTATAAAGGGTGCAGAGCAGGTGAACCAGATGAGCAGAATCAGGGCTGATTGCTGTGATAGGCTGTGGTGAACTGTTAACTGACAGGAGCAGATGTGAGCAACGACAGGAGCTGAGGGATAAACAAAACATGGAGAGGGGCAGAAAACATGGCATGTCATGAAGGGGCAGGGAAGTGAGCAGATGGGGGCCAGCGGGGGCCACTGATCATGACAGGATGAGACCAAAGTAGAACTTTTTGGTTTAAATGAAAAGAGTTATGTTTGGAGAAAAGAAAACTCTGCATTGCTGCAGAAGATCCTGATCCCATCTGTGAAACATGGTGGTGGTGGTATCATGGTTTGGGCCTGTTTTGCTGCATCTGGACCAGGACTTCTTGTCATCATTGATGGAACAATGAATTCTGAATTATATCTAATCTATATATAATTATATATATTATATTATATGAAGGAAAATGTCAGAACATCTGTCCATGAAGTGAATCTGAAGAGAAGGTGGGTCATGCAGCAACACAATGACCCTCAGCACACAAGTGGTTCTACCAAAGAATGTTCAAGAAGAATAAAGTTCATGTTGTGGAATGACCAAGTCAAAGTCCTGACCTTAATCCAATCCAGATGTTGTGGAAGGACCTGAAGCAGAAGTTAATGTGAGGAAACCACCAACATCCAGAGTTGAAGCTGTTCTGTACAGAGGAATGAACTAAAGTTCCTCCAAGGTGATCGACTGTTTTTTTTTCATTCCTTCAACCTTTATTTATACAGGTTAGTCTCACTGAGTCACAGTGTGTGTGTGAGTGTGTGTGTGTGTGTGTGTGTGTGGGGGGGGGTCACACCAGATACTGAAAGCAAAGGCTCACATACTTTTACCATCACAAATATGTAATATTGGATCATTTTCCTCAGTAAATAAATGACCAAGTGTAATATTTTGTCTCATTTGTTTAACTGGGTTCTTTTTAATCTACTTTTAGGACTTGTGTGAAAATCTGATGATGTTTTAGGTCAAATTGATGCAGAAATATAGAAAATTATAAAGAGTTCACAAATTTTCAAGCACCGCTGTATTTTGCTCCTCTCCAAGGGGAAGCTCTGGGATAAATTGATCTGCACTCCACACGTCACTTTATGTTTGAGGTCAGTGAATTCATCAATTCAAATGTACAGTCTAGATAGTTCACGTTAGACCTGTGTTGTTTATAGATTAGTCAGCTGGAATTAATCATTATCTTGTTTTTACCACTGACAGCTTAACGCTAATTGTTAATGGATGTTTGGACCTTCTTCGTTAAGGAGAAATTTTCTCCAGTCTGTATTCACATACTGATGTCGGGAGTGTTTTTACACGCATAAATTACCAAACACCAGAAAACGTTCTTAACTTTAGCACCCGCCTGAGTGCTGCAGCCTGGAGCAACGCGTCGTCAGCTCGCTCGTCACTGAAGCAAACAGGTTCTTCCCTCCCAGAGGTCTCAGCTCTGCTCCCACCTTCTGCTGCTACTGTGTATAAAAACGCTGAATTCCACGGCAGAGTGGGTGAGTTAATGTTTAGGTGGTTTGTCTGATAACTGAGGTGAGTCTGAGTTCACAGCGTGTTAAAACAGTTTGACCACACAGTGAGTACAGACTGAAGCAATCAGAGTCCTGACTCCTGAGTGGGGTAACGAGCCGGAAAATAATCAGAGCAGCTGAAGGTTTGAATATAAAAAACACAAATGCCCGTCATAATGAAAGTCACCCTTTGCCTTTCATGGCAGAGTTTAAACTAAAATCCTGTCATGCTGGGAAATGACAGAGTTGTAGCCGTCCTGCTCAAACCTTGATAAGGATGTTGTGAGTGATCTCGTGATATTGGGAAATGCCACTCAGCATGTGTTGTGAATGGCTCTCAGCTACTACCACAACAAATTTCAGTTCAAGATATGTACAACTGATCGAGTTAGAGCCACTCTCGTGTTGGCTATTATTGATCAGCTGTGGCGGCCATCTTACATTGGTCTGAATCCAAATATTAATCAGTTGTAGGTTTCATTAAAGTCCATCCTGTGGTTCATTAGATATTTTAGTAGCAAACACATCTTCTTATCTACCTTTAACTTTCAGTAGTTGGCGATAATGAACTGCTGTAAAGATTGTAGACTTTAAAATAAACATCTTAGTCAAATGATTTTCAAAAACACAAGACCAATGAGAGCCACGTAATGAGCTAATGTGGTTTCACTCAGGACAATAGAAGCTGAGCACTGCAGGTTCTGGACAGAACAAGTGTTACTTTGGGAGGAGAAATAATTCAACCTGAAAAGTATCTTTGAAGACTAAAAAATACAAACACAGAGTTCAGAGTACATGATGTGCTAAACAACACCAGACCTTTGATAAAAGACCTGCTGCATTAGACTCACTTTAAACCAGATCTGTGTGTGTTCCTTTGAGATTTGTGAGCACAGCTCGTTCAAAGCTCCCTTCAGGAGGAAGCTTGCGCATCGATAATCAAGAAAAGACAATGTAGATTTTAAAAACAACTAAGAGTTTTGGATATATTACATGTTGCTGCTGCTGCTGATGAATAGAAGAAGAAAATAGACTCACGGGATCAGCAGGCCCACAGAACTCCCTAAAGGTTTTGGGTGCATCTGTGCCGTGGATCTCTAGAACCATGCAGGGTCCGGAGCACAGCTGGGTCACCATACTCTGGAAATACATCCAAAGGTGTCAGAATAACTCAGGCTTCTTTCTTTCCCTTGTCACATGAGATAATACCCAAAGAGTGGCAACAGCTCATCCTCTGTAACAACTTTCATCAGTCTTCTACAGCCTTTGTTTTGGTGTAATCAAAAGTAGCGAGTGAGAGAGTTATGTTGAGGGTTTTTCACTGTGATGGCACAACAGTGTGGTGTTTACACTCACAGGATACTCTGAGACAACGCCTCGGTACACTTCATAGAACTCCTCCGCGTTAGCCCGGTCCACATTGAACTGTCAAAATCAAACAAGACTCACAAAAGTCATGAACGTTTAAAAACATAAAGTTACAGAGTGAAGGTATGTCCATTCATTAGATAGAAGCACGTTCCTATTTGTTTTAGGACAGAAGTCTTAATTTATCATCAAGAACACTAAATGAATAGTTCATCTTTTGCAGTAGGAGTTTATAGAGACTGTGAACAATTAGCATCTTACCTGTTGTAGACAGCTCTTTGACCTCAATCTGAAGAGACTGAATTTAAGTCTGAGCAGATTCAAGAGCTAACAGCTAGCCTGATAACACCAACATAAAATGCTGCTCAACTAAAAACAGCTCAAATCTCCAAATGTTCTCACCATTCATACAAATACTATTTTGTAAAGGTTTACATTGCCATATATTTTACTGTACATGACTTTTACAGGAGTAACATTGATTTTCATTTTGCAAGTGCTACGGCTTGCTGCTGCTGACACTTGTTGTGCAAAACTGATGTGAGCAGTTGATAAAATAGTTTCCATGAACCACTAGGAATGGGCAGAAGTTCTCCAACATCACAGTCCTGTCAAAATGAACAACTCTGAAGAATTGTTGTGACTGTTGCAGCGGTCTTTCACCCCTGCATGTGGTAGTGACGTTACCATGGGGCTCTTGGAGATGGGAGGATTTTCATTGATAGAACACCGTTTAAAGTGTTACAGCATTTGTTTCTATTACTGTAGTTTATTTACAAAGATTACAAAGTGAAAACATCTGTCACAACTTACTGACACTTTTACAACCAAAATAATGTTAAGTCACGGGATTATACTGATCAGCAGCAGCAGCACGTTTCTGTACCTGAGGCCTCTGTTTCGTTAGAGGGATTTTACGAACGCATGACTTGATGTGAGTAAATGTTGATTCACCACAAGTCTCCATCCTAAGCATGTGGATACAATCATTTATTTTATTTTTTCTTCTTCCGCTGCTCCCTTCTTCAGGGCTCACCACAGTGAACTAACTTGCATGAAGACTTGGAAATCGTTTATACGCCGGATGTCCTTCCTGACACAACCACAGACCACCGAGCTACCACAGCCCTCTGTGTGGAGCAGAGGGCTGATATCTAGGGCGCCAGGGGGAGCAGATGGTGGGGGTTAAAGGCCTTGCTCAAGGGCCCAGAGTGTGGCAGATGTTGGTCCTTCAACTTTCCTACTCACATTTTGATGTTGTCGGTATGGGAATCAAACCTGTGACCTTCCGATCACAGGCCCATCTTCTCTAACCTCTGCACCACCACCCTCCCTGTATATATTAGTAAAAACTAAAAATGTATCCCTCCATGAGCTTCTTCTGTCCATCCACATGAATGTTTACAACATGAAGTCTATTTCCTGTTGTCAGTTCATTCAGGCCCCCGTCATACTGGATGACAGCCCAGTTACTCTCCACAACCCACACCACTCGTTAAAACGTGGATGGATCACAGTAAATTTGAATAATTCCATCAGCTTGAAGACAACCCTGCTCCCAGTACTCAGCAAATACGTTTTGTCTGGTGTTTTCTACGTCCAAGAGTCAATCTCTTACGCCCCTGTCAAGCTTTATACATCAGCAGCACGTTCTCCTGATAGAACTATGACGAGGTACACCTCATGATCTCATGAT